ACTCAAATCAAGAATGTATGACATGCATGATTTGAATAATTCAAATATCTAACTCGAATCATGAAGCTTTTCATTTCCTAAAAGTTGGTTTGAGAAACATGATTCAAATCATGAGCAAGATTGTGAAATTGGAATTTTAATTTGTGGAAACATGATTTGAATCATGAATTGCCTTTATTCAAACGATAAACAAATTGTTTGATTTTTAAATCATTTCTAGAAACATATTTTGAACCACGATTAATTGTGATTCGAATCACATTATTAGAATCTTGATTTAAATAACTGAACAAAATTTTGAGTTTTTCATTTACATGTTATGTTTTATTCTCTCATTATATTTGTTTCAATCATAAGACTCTGACTCTAATTAAATGGACATTTTTCATTATTTTTTTGCATAATCTCTAACATATGTATAAACTCTTTCACCCTATATTTTTCATAATAATAAGATAACCTTTGATAACTTATGTTGTTCACCCTTCACACATTCAATTTCTTGAGTGAAACATTTGTTTTATGTAAGATAATCTGAAATTTCATCTTCTACCTCAAACACTTAGCACCATTGGTGATTATGATGGCTCAACTCTAAGAGAGATTGTGAGTTTTTGTTGTGAGGTGATTCATTATAGGTACTAATGATTTTGTGAATTTCAAAATAAAAGTCAGGTTATTGGATTTATGGAGAGAGATTTACATTAAAGAAAAAGATGAAGTCTTCTCAAAAGAGATTTTGGGGTTTCTAACATCTATAATCAAGTCAAAGACTCAGACAATAAATTTCGATACAATCGAGTGAAGATCGTTGTGGAACGGGAGCTTGAAGTGCTTGTGGTATGTGGAGGTGAAATAGCTCAAAATCGTGGATCATAGAGTGTTTATAAGCCATGTAAGTTATGTGCAGTTGAAGAAGAATAAATAATTAGTTTGTATAGCTTAGTGGTTAACTCTAAGTATTTCGACAATTTTTGCTTATCATTTAAACAAAAGGACAATGTAAATTTCATAGTGGGATACTACAACAAACTTTTGGTGGTTTACCATCAGAGACTAAATTAGGTGCATGGGAGGACAAGCATTGAACTAGTAAAAGTCTCAGCGTATAATCTCTCTCTCTCTGAACTCCGAATCCAAACAGCAATTATGAACCGTAGAATTTGTAACCGCGAACTCAAAAAGAAAAACCATTTTGAATCACAAATTGACTTGTTGTTGTTGCACAAGAATCGCGTATGAGTTTTGAGCAAGAATCGTGTTTGAGAAAAAGCGATTTTTCGAAGAATTGTGTTTCCGTTTGTTTCCTCTTTTCGCTCATGTACATATACGTCTATGTTGTTGTAACGTGTTTTATATTCTTTTCATATTTTCCCTATTTTATATATCTTTTATATTATAATTCTTACTATATTAATTTCATTTTTCTAACTAGCCATATGTCAATGTTTGATTAGTTATTAGCTTAAGTGAGGAAAAAAAATCTAATTTATAATTTTCAATATATGAAAAAAGGGTTACATGTTGAATATTTACTTAGGACCTTTTAATTTCATGTTCTTAGCAAAAAAAAAATATTAATTGCTTGATTAGTTAAAATTTGTGTTAATCGGTTTGACTTTGTTAGTTAATTTCGATTAGTTTGATTAAGTGAGTAACAATTATTATATGGATTAGTTCCTCCATTTTAGTTTAGTCAATTAATTAATTCTTTTGATTGATTAATTTTAGGGGAGACAAAGTGGGCGGCCCATCCCGTTTAAACCCGTTCAAAAGCTGGGCGGGACAACTTAGATATCCGAGCTCAAAAGTCAAGTTCACCTCATTTACTAACGAGTTGACAGGTTGTCGAGTCAGCTCGCTACTTTTTTATTTTTTATTTTACAATTTGATTTACTACATAATTTATAAAAAAAATTATTTATTACCAAAGAGGTCGACAAAAGATTTTTTTAACAACGCATAATAGAACTTCAACATGTCTTTAGTCCAAACGGTTCAAAAAATAAAATAAATAAATACCAATTACAATAATAAAAAAAAAAGAAATAAACTCAAGCACAATAAAAAAACGTATCTAAATAAATAAATAAACAATACATATCATCAAAATCCTATTTAAAAATTAACTACTAAAATAACCCAATTAAAAATTTACAAAAGACAAACAATGATAACAATTACACTGCATAAAACATCACAATGCACAAAATACCAACACCTGAATTTCTCACTGTTTACATCATATAAACTCTTATATTAACTAATTTCTTAATAGTTAAATTCTCATTTTGTCACGCATATACACTAGTCAAATCATTCCTTTTCTTAAAATTAATATCAATTTCTAAAGAAAATATGTGAGTTAATATTTGATAACTTAATAATTCAGCATGTCATACAATTGTTCTTTTATTTCAAGTTTTTTCAATCAATACATGTATTAGAAAGTTATAGGAAGAACGTTACAATTATAATTCAATTTGTTTCTACAGTAATTTATAATACAATTTAATCAACATGATCCTAAGTGAAAAGTGTTTTTTTATGATTAAAGTTGTTTTAATTCTAAGTAAAAAAATAAAATGTTTTAACAAAAAGCCTGCGGGGAAAACCCGTCTTGCTCTACCTCGGCCCACTTTTTCAAACGGGTTAGGCGGGGCAGACCAACTTAAAGTACCGAGACCAAAATCTCAGCCCAGCTCGCCAAAAATGGCAGGTCAAACGGGCCTACCCTGCGAGTCCGACCCGTTTTCCACCCCTAATTAATTGATTGAATACTTAAACATTAGGAATTAGTCATGAATATACACTTAGGATTAATCATGAAAATACAAGAACACCTTTAGACATGTAAAAACTATCTTGCGATTATATTAATGATTCACAAACTCTGGCCAAGTTCACAATTTTCATACCATTTTACTTTATCTTTTATGTCCATTAAAACAAAAACTCTTTTTCTAAATAAATAAAAAAAACTTAACAAATGTGATGTGAATTGTGCGCGATGAGTCTTAAGAAATGAAGAAGAATAAGAGGGATAAATACCTAACAATTGTTTAAAGTATTCACCTTCATTCATAGACTTTAGTGCAATTCAAATCAAGGCAAATTTTCATAAAAGAAAGAGGATGTAGACTCTCTCTCTCTCTCTCTCTCTCTCTCTCTCTCTCTCTCTCTCTCTCTCTCTCTCTCTCTCTCTCTCTCTCTCTCTCTCCTTGAATGATCAGATATTGTTGTATAGCTCCCTTTCTAAATATCCATCTTTAGACTAAAATCAATTACAACTAATCAAATTCAATTTTCCACCATATGGAATTCAAAATCTTTTTACAAAGGACATATTATTTCCATTCTACTGCAATATAAACAACGCTTAAACCTCTCACGCGCGAGTATACAAGCAATTTTTTAACTGTTATAACGTGAACATTAACATCGTTCAGTAAAACCAACCAACAAACACACATTTTCTACCCCATGAACTACGAAGCTCTGATTTTCTCATTGCACTATGATAATACATAGGCACGTGATTTTGATAACTTGGCGAACACACTGATTAAAAACTTATTTTTTTCTTAATTAAAACCAATCACAAGTAACCTTTAAAAAATAACACTCATCCGCACAAAATAATCAAAACGGTTACCATTGAGTGCAACGGATGTGAGGGGTGCTAATAACTTCCCCATGCATAATCGACTTCCTAACCCGAATTTGGTTGCGTTGACCATTTTCTCTATATTTTAGGGATTTTATAGATATTTTTCCTATCCTTTTGAATAAATAAAGTTCAACGGCAACTATGTATTTTTCGCGGCACGATATTTATTGACATAATATAAAGGAATTTGTATACATATATAAATTATTATTTTTTTAATTGAACTTTTTGAATTTGAACAACTTCATCTCTACTTCAACATAATAGAGTTTATACAAAAGTAGAAGGCAAACAAGAAACATGTTGTGTCGCTACTCCTTTTTGTGATAGAAAAATCATCTCTTCAAAAACTACAGTCGTGGACCTAGGAGGTACAACATTGTTATTCATAAGCATTTGGATTTCTTTAAAATATCAACTGTTTCTGGTGCAAGGAAACCCAATGTCTTAGAAGAAAATGGTATGAAAGCATGTTGAATGTCAGAACACGTTTTCTCATATTTAACCACTTTATTTGAATCAGCTTTGAGAGTTTTGTGTCCCATAGTAAAACCACTAGTCATCAGTCCCACTACTGGAAAAACTCCATTCAAGTCCACACAAGCATGTTTCCCTCCTACCTATTCGTACACCATAACATCAGCTGGCCTAAGTGTCGATCTCGCCTCATAGGCCAGTAAAGAAATTCACAGGCACCTCTTTCTTAACAAATACTTTGGCCCACAAGAATATATCAAACATGAATTCCTAACAAGGTCATGTCAGTATTTGAAACTTAGAAGCTCCCTATAATGAATCATGTGTTCTCTAAATGTATCCAAACACGCTTTACAACAAACAAGGAAAATCTCATCAATAAAAATTAAAGGGATCATAAGGCAGAATCTTAGGATAATATGGTACTCTGCCACTGACATATATTGGCCTAACCCTTTAATGCGAATAATACAGAGAAAGTCTTGAGCATGTGTGACTTATAAACAACCAAAAATTTTTTTTTGTCATATGGTCATGCCAAAATTTACATCATCTCTTTAATAGTTATACACAAAAAGGCACTCGCCAAAACATGTTGTGCTTTATAAGGGACAATGTCCTTTCTAGTAAACCTGCTAAGGTCAAAATCTTGAATCGCAGTACTAAGGCCATCCAAAGCAATGTCAAAATCTAATTTCATATCATATACCTCATTGTCTCTCAATATATGATCCTATAACACCTAAGATTGGGCCTAGAGGCCACAAAAAAGTATGTGGAAACCTCTACTATCAAGTACATACCCAAACCCCCAACTCAAATGGGTAAAAAAAAACATCCGCAATTGAAAGTCCTAGAAGAAAGGACCACTTCCAACCACAATGTCTTCAACTTCCCTTCCCAACTCTTTATCAAACCAAATAGTTGCTTCCTCCATATGATTAGGTTTGTACATTCTTAAGCACACACAAAAATATATTGGCAATACCCATGCAAGACCAAAGTAGAAGAAGCTCAATATAGTATCCCTTAATTGTGGTAGAATATGCATTAATTCAATGGCTCTGGAAACTCTCTTCATGGATAACCCCTTGATAAAGATGTCATGTCGAATCACAACCTATCCAAGTAACTTCATCCCCAACATTGGACTCCTAATGTTCAATGGGAACAAACGCTCATGAAGTTTACTACCATCACATGAAAGCCAAAAGATCTCAGTCATACGAATATTCAATTCGAGACATAACCCTAGACCTGTCTCCTGAATGATGTCAAGAGCTTTAGCCACCTTCTGTGAATCCCATATTAAAGTTTCATCACCAATATACCAGACATGAAGAAGAAGCTTACAATTGTCTCTAACCTGATCAATGTGTGGGTGTAAAACAAGAGCAAAAAGGAGCGACCCTAATGGATCACCTTGTTTATCCAATTGCTGACATAATATGTTCATCTCCAAGGTACATCGTCGCTGCTTAGCCATAAAGAAACTCAACCCATAGAAAAATATATGGACATCTCACCATTATCTCGCGCAATAGGGTTGGTCAATCTACCATGTTGAAAACATTCAAGAAATCGAGTGTGAGCATACCCAATGAACCATCTATGTATCGTTTGCTTAACACCTTATTGGCATTGTGCTAAATGGCCTCAATACCACCGGATACCGCAACACTAAATTGAAACTCGTTGAGATAGCGTGTCACATATTTACCGACCCCTTTCATAGCAACCTTGGATACCAACCGCCTCTAAATAGAACCCACAATAATTGGTCGTATCCCATCATCAGACTTTAGTAATGGTGTCAAGGGTGCAGAGGCAACAAACTCTGTCAAACTCATGTGACATCTTCCCTATAACCATAAGTTAACAACTAGAGTGTTTGCATATAAAATATCTTTTGCCATAACAGAACCTTCTCCACGCAGTGCGTCTAATACATGTTAAGCACACAAACTATCTCTACCACATGACGTTCCCTTGGGAAATGATTTAGTGCACTTGAAGATAATATCAGCATCAACCACTAAGGGAGCCTTAGAGAACAAGGTGGTCTGCATGGAGGATGTGGTCTGCATTAACCAAATAGTTAAAACACTCCAAAATGTGGTGTTGTTACAAGGACTTTCAATTTTCAAACATGCGATCCTGCCTATTTTGAGACTTAATCATCTATAAAAAGTACAACGAAGAAGAAGTAACCGAATTCAAACACCTACTAACCCCAAATCAGCAACCCCTTATAAAGAGCATCTTTCAACCACCTTAAATTAAATATATTTTTTAAAAATGCACATGCAATTCAATTCACTAGTTATTTATTTATTTCTATCATATAAATCTATCACTTTTGCCCATTCAAATTGTGTGACATATAGCGCCAAATAAGAAAAATAGAGGGAAATTTAAAAACAACAATTTGATAATAATTATAGCCGTATAAGTTATTATATTTAATTATATCTTTTTTTTCAAAAGTCATTAGATTTAATAATTCCTCTACCTAAGTTGTCACTATGTAATTGGTAACATAAGAAATCTATCATATGTGATTGGTTTTTGAGGTTTTTGTTTTTTGTTTTCGATCTAAGAGAAATATGTGATAATGTTCTTACCCAAAAGATATTATAGTTACGTAAACATGTTTGGCTAATTTTGATGTTGTCACGAAATATAAACTAATACGTAAACAAAACAATTAGGTAAAGATAAAGTACAAAATTAGGTAATTCATCAAAAGTTGATAATTTACAAATTGTGAATATGATTCATGATGATATATTGCACTAATGTAGACAACCATGCATGCCAAAATATAACTCAAAAGACGTATCAAATTGTGGTTATATAACTTCACTAAAATGTCACAATTGCTTTTAATTACATTTGAAGGGAACAATGTGTCTTCACTAAATAAACCCACATACGTATAATATTTCTTTTTTACAAAAAGGGACAATGTACCATCACCAAATAAACCCTTCAATGCAATCCAAGATAATAATAAAAAAGCCGTTTTTAAATAGCTCGTTTGATCAATTGTAAGAAACAAAAAAATTGATCAACTTTCGGTTCTTATAATGTAAATCAATCCAATCAAATTGAATTATAAAATTATATATTTTCAAACAAAAGGTTATATTATTATAATAAATTAAATACATAATACAATACATTATCACTTGAGCTCAAGCGCTTACCTGACTAACGAGGGCGATAAGGATTTTGAAATAAAAAATAGAGTAAGAATTAGTGATAATGGTAGATTTGAGCTTTCAATACGATATAAAAGGAGCCGACTTGCAAAGTTAACACTTCAACGCTCAAGTCAGCATGTGAGGGAGAAAAGTGAATTGAAATTGACATTGAGTATCTGAATTGACGCACTTTCTATGTATAGTGAAGAGGAAACAACAACTTGCTATTTGTCAGACATGAATCGCGAAGATTCGTTGGATGCATTTGGAATTTGGATCTCCTATTCTTATTCATAGGGTAGCTCTCATGTGCTCATAAAGTTTTAGAAGCAATGCAACTTCTTTAAATTGGTCAACGAAGATCAATATGGTCAGTCTAAAACAGTTGCGTCAAAACCCTTGCTTTTGCGTAGCAAGACAAATGTTTGTCGTATTAGTCTCGGTTGTCAATCACTCTTTCATCTATATTGGAAGAGAAGGAGTAAGCATTTCAGTTTCGTGGGAATTTGCGCGATTAATGTTTCATACTTTCAACGTCTTTTCGAAGGTATTCTCATTACGACCCTTGAGAACTGGAACACTTGAGGGTTACATGTGACTGATTTGAAGCGTTGATAAAGTATATTCCACATTGCATGCTAGCATATGGTTCTTGAAGAGTAAGTTTTACATTTCTTTGAGTTATTTTTCCCAAATCATTGTTACCTCTTTTCTTTTGATAGTTTGCTTTTTTGTGTATAGAAAAAATAATATACATCATGAGTTAAAAATCACAGAAGAGTGATCGACCTTCGTGGGTGGAATCTGTTTATTCTCCACCTGTTATTGTCTTTGTCAAATAGGGTTATATTGATGGAACCTTTCTTGACGTTGGTTCATCTTCAGATTGAGGTGTCCTGACCCCAGCGAAAATGACAAAATATACAACGAGTATGGTGATTATGCCATTCATTTTTATGAATGTATCTTCTTGATTGCGGGTCTTTAGTTTCCTTTCAATGCTTTTGAGATGTAATTTCTTAATCATCTAATAATGGCTCTATCGCAACTTGATCGTCATGCGAGTTGATCATATGTGAAAGTCTTCTAGTATTGGTGGGAATATTTGAATGAGAAGCATTCTCTAACCCTTTTCTTTTATCTCTTCAAAATTCATTGTAGCCTTGTGATATGTACAACACAGACGCACTCTTAATACTATTAGGAAAGCTCTTGGCCGAGCTCTTGATAGTTCTAACCTAGCTTCTGGTCATTGTACGAGCACTTAATACTATTGGGCGAGCTCTTGGTCGAGCTCTTGATAGTCATCACCTAACTCGTGATATTTTTAGCCTTAGGTGAACTCTTGTTCCTCTTGGCCGAGCTCTTAATATTATTGAGTGAACTCTTGCTCATATTGGTCGATCTGATAAAACTATTAATTGAACTCTTAATAGTTGGGCGACCTTTTGCTCCTCCTGGCCGAGTTGGTACTCAGGCGAGCTCTTAATACTATTAGGTGAACTCTTGATAGTTGGGCAATCTCTTGCTCCTCTTCGTTGAGCTCTTACTACTTGTGCGAGCTTTTAATAATATTGGGCAAACTCTTGGCTGAGCTCTTGATAGTTGTGCCACATGTTTTTATCCTCTTGCCCAAGCTCTTGATAGTTGAGATATCTCTTGCTACTCGAGCAAGCTCATAATACAATTGAGCAAACTCTTGACAGTTTGGGCCTAGCTCGGGAAATTCACAGCCTTTGGCAAACTCTTACTCCTCTTGGCCAAACTCTTGATGGTTGGTTGTGCTCTTGATACTCGAACGAGCTCTTAATACTACTACGAGAGCTCTTGGTCGGTATTGAGAAAACTCTTGATACTTCGGCCTACAGTCCAACCTACTCCCTTGGTATGTGCTCTTCATCATGTTATTTTAGGTCCCCGGTGAAAATATGATTAAACATACATAGTCTTCTTAGCACGAGACACGTAGAGGTGAAATGCTTTAGTCGAAAGCCCATGACACACTATAAAATTAAATATTTTGAATAACTTAATCATAATTTTTGGTATTATTGTTTATACTTAATCGAAAAATAACAAATAATCGATTTTATGACCATTAAAATCTCTTTTAACTAAACAAAAAAATAATCGAATACAAAATAAATAAATCTTTATTGAATATATTAAGGTTCAAACATGTTGTGGGAGTATAAAATCTCAATAATGAAACATGGACAATCTATAACTGTAATTTCAATATTATTATCTTAAGTTCATTACACATTGAGAAAATAATATTGATATTAGCTAGTGGAACCAAATCTATCTTATAATTTGTAAATTATTTTAGTATACATAATACAACAAGAAATAAAAGTAACCGAGAAAATAACTCGACTCTGGTACCGCTAGCATTAAATTAATTAAAAAATCAATAATTGAAAGCGAGTGTTAGGTTGATAGCGGTGTCGTTGTTATAGTTACAGTTTCGGGTAAAAAAATAAAATAAAATACCAATGGGGCGGTGGTGGTGGAAAACGGCGGCGTTTGTCGCAATAGCCGCCTTGTTATTAAGATCTTACGGCGGAGATCTGATCGGAGTTGGTTGGGACAGAGAATCGTTGATGAAATGGATGAGTGATTTATCTGATAAATTAGGGATTTGGGCGATTCCTCTATACATCTCAGTTCATACAATCTCCATCGCTCTTTGTTTACCTTCCGCTATTTTTCTCGAAACCGGTGCTTCTCTTCTCTTCGGATTCTTACCTTCTGTTCTATGTGTTTTCTCTGCGAAGATCCTTGCTGCTTCTCTTTCATTCTCGATTGGCAGGTAATGGTTTTCGGCTGAATTTTTTCAGATCTAGTGTTGGATTAATCGATTTTGTTGTTAGAGATAGTTTGAGATTTGTAAGAATTAGTTTAATTAGTTATAAGTTAGTTGTGATTAGTTGATGTTAAATCCGTTGTGTTTGTTTATGTTTTCAACTCTTGCGGTGACGTGAATTTGATGAGGAGAAAAAACGGATCAATAGAGGTAAATTAGTTTTAGAGCAAGGTTTTAAAACGGCCATGACATAGGTAAAAAAAATGGACTCATTTTCAATTAGGACTCCTCCAAACGAGGAACCAAACATAGGTATTCCAATGAGAATCTATTACTTTGTAGTTATCTTTTGAATTGGTGTTATGAAGTGAGATTTTGATATGATGAGTTCTGATTGGATGTTGGTTAAAACTAATTTATTGTGAGATTGTATATTCATTAAACTCTTAGATGATGCCTAGCGTTTTAGTTGTCAATTTGTTTTATTTAAACCAACAATTAAGTGATTAAGTTGTTATAGGTAGTTAGGAATTTAATCTAATAAGTTGTCAATTTGTTTTATTTGTGTTTGGATGTGTTCTCACGGTTTACTTTTATATCTAAAATAGTAGAATTTGAGATTGATGAGTAGTCAAATTGTATTAGAAGAGCAAAACTGGCTTTAAATTAAACCGATAAATAAAGAGCAAGAACACACTCAATTGATTGCAAAGTTTGGCCAACTGTGCTTACAAATTTTACAATAGTTTCCTATTATTTATGCAATGCTTAAGAGTTTTAGTGTATTAATGCCCGTATTACAATACACTGTGTCCATAACTTAAATTAAAATAAACTGAAAAGGGAAAAAACCTATTTGTAAGTTTTTCCCAACACTACAGATGTCATTAAGTAAGCCTAAATAAGCTCTTTTGTACATCTATTTATAGATAGTTGGAAATTGTGGTTTTTGCTATTAGAATTAAAATTGAAGCCTATGTTTATATGATATCAGGGTTCTTAATATGTTACTGCAGTTTTCTTTATAATTTTTTCTTTTTTTTAATTTTCGAAGTTATTCACCTGAAATTCTGAAATCAAATGATTGGTTAAAACAATTTTGAGATGAAAACTTAATGTAGCAGAGGGAATAAGAAATTCTCTTTTGTTGTGAGTCACCAATCTTGTTTTTCACGATAACTCAAACAAATAGAATTGGAATTTTGATTTCCTAATTGTGTGTCTAGGAAAGGACTGCTGGAACATTAGGATCTTAGTATATTTGTTTTTTTCCGTTGATGTTACACTTTGGGCCCTTTTTTAAGCATCTCTTGTGCAAATATTCTATGGTATTGTAGGGTACTGGTGTGCTTACTTTTGTTTTGTATACAGAAGCTATATTCTTGTCTTTGGTCTTTCTGGTTACTTTTTCACTTTGCATTTCAATAAAGCTTTTTCTCTTACATGAGTCAATAATGAGAGGAATTTGTAAACATTTGCTCAATCATGTTAAAGAATAATTAGTGCTTTTCTTGCATGTGGTTAATTTGATAAATCAGAATATTAATCTTAGGAAATTGTTTATCAAATATCTAATGTTGATTGTTGTGTTTAGTTCAATGTTGTTTTTTGTAATTATATTCAATTTGCCTTGCATGTTGAAAATGTGTTGTTTAGTTATTGCTTATTTGACTCACTTGGATAACTGAAATGATCTGCCATGGTATGAAAGACTATAAAGGGTAATTTATAGGACATATGAGGCAGCTGTGTGAAAATACGCTAGCTTAACATGTCTATTCTGATATTACCATTATGTAGCACCAACACTTCATATTAAAGACATGTTTGACGTCCAACACGTATTGGTGTCGACATGTCAGAGTCGCGTTCGTGTTAATTACTTATAAGTAGTAAAAACTTACATGGACATCCATATGTTAATGATGTATTCTTCATTCAATGTTCTCTGTGTAATTAGTCCTCTTAAATAATTATCGATGTTGACGAATCAATCTGGTGTCCGGTGTTGGTGACAATGTCAATCCTTTTCAAGTAACAACTAACAAGAACACTCATGTTTAATGATGTTTTCTCCATCAGAAGTTCTATGTGTAACTCAATCCTCTTTTTATCTTTGCTTATCTGTTCTGAATTTGTCATTTTGGGTTCTTCACAGGTTAATATTCAGGAATTCAAGTTCAGCAATGGACTGGGCTCAAAGAAACAAATACTTCAAAATCCTCTCAAATGGAGTTGCGCGAGATGGTTGGAAGTTTGTTCTTCTTGCCCGATTCTCACCCGTGCCTTCCTATATTATTAACTATACCTTAGCTGCAACTGAAGTTAGGTTCTTTTTGGATTTTCTTCTTCCCACTGTTGTCGGATGCCTCCCCATGATCTTGCAGAATACATCCATCGGAAGCCTTGCCGGTGCAGCTGTTGCCACAGCATCTGGCTCTAAGAAATCTCAATTTTGGTCTTACTTCTTCCCCATAGTTGGTATTTTATCTAGTGTACTTATTTCTTTGAGAATTAAGAAGTATTCATCCCAAATTTCAGTACCCGAAATCTCTTCCGACGAAGATAACACCGTAAAGTCAAAATAGTAAAACTGTATCAACTGAACTGCATGTATGCGGCAATAGTGAAGAATACTGATTGTCATTTTGGTATGACTTTTTCTTGTTATGACTTGATCTTCATTTAATCAGGTAGTTGAACTTCATTTAGGTTATGAGGACTTTTGGTTGTGATTTTTCTGTTGCGGTTTTTCTTTACATAGGGTATTAGGTGGTCCTATGAGAAGAAAACTGCATGTAAATGGAGTTAAGGTGTTTGATTAGTCTTGATGGTTAGCGTAGGGCACCAATCTTTTTCCAACTAAAACTCAGATCTGAGATCTTGAAGTAGAGTACAAGGCATTTTAATAGAATTCAATGTTATAAAAATTGACCCGAACCAGTTATTCATGTTTAAACAAAATCTGGCTGTTTTGTCGGTTGGTTCTGAATCAGATTGAAGTTGAATGGATTGAACTGTCGTTGAGAGGTTTGGTAGTAAAAATGGTATAGTTTTAATTTTATTTTACAATTGAATCAATTTAAACTACTATGGTTGTATAGTATTGTCGGTCCTATTCTTAAAATGTTGTACTAACAAATTAGCACTACTTCGATTGATTTGAGTACACTCCATCCAACATGGCGTAGATATTTTGTTATATTCATTAAATGTAGTAAGATATTTGTTTCAATAGTAATGAAAAGCCACCTACCTACAATTACCAATGTCTTAAAACGAGTGAATTGTACACTGGCACACTGCAGCAAGTAAATGCCTGTACAAATACAACTGTATATAATTGGCAACACGTTTGGCTTTATTAAGTATGAAAGAATGGTACACTGCTTTACGCACAAAAAATATTTAAGGAAAAAAGTGTATTTTAGTTATTTATCCTAGTGGGGGAAAAAAGAGCTATATACCATTATTATTGAGAAAAAGTGCGGAAGTGGTTTTGATGAATTTGAGTTATAGTTTAATTAATCCACCGTCATATTAGTTGTTGTTTGTTTTGGTTGTGGAATGCGTGTGAATTGCTACGACAAAGAAGCATTAAGTAGGTGGAATGGAACACACAAGCTAATAAATAGATGGCGTCTTACTAGTTACAAGTTACTATACACCATTATCAAAACTTATAACTCTACATTAGGTAAAACTTATAACTTATTCTATAATCATAGTCTTTAAATTAGATTTAATTGAATGGTTATAGGTAAAATATTAATTTAATCACTAGATTATGATCAATTTAAAGACTATAATACTTATTTTTGAAGTAAGTTAATCTTATATATATATATATTTGTTTGGGTCCCTACAAATAGCGAACTTATCTATTTATATTCCGATAAAAAAAAATCCTTTAATATGAAATGATATCATTAACCATCTTTGTTCTAAAGGTTTATTAGTTTGCATCTGGTGCTATTGGATGAGATGTTTACTTATGATTTAAATACATAAGATAATAAAGTTTGAGAATGTCTTTTTTAGGTCGATCAAAGTCTAATACGCATGGATTTATACGTTCAACTCAATAAAAATCATTCAACGTATATAATAGGCACATGTGAGATTTTAAAAACTTTTTTTTCTCATTTTACTCGTCTTAATTTTTGAGTGTTGGAGTGCTAATTTTGCAGATCTATTCCGTGTCACCATATCGAAGATTAACATCACTGCATCGAAGATTAACATCACCACTTCAAGAGTCCAACGTCGTCAATCAACATCAATTCTAGTTTTCAGATAGAACAGTCACGCTGTTTGTATGAATTGACATCAATTTTTGCGAAATTTCACGATCACATTTGGTTTGACCCAAAGGCAGATCGCAAAGAAATCACATCAGATGATCACTTCATTCCCGGCCTTATGGCATAATAATTTTCTGTCAGCCTTCCCGATCCAACTATTAATTCTGATGACTATAATTCAAAAGATCTACAAAGAAACTTTATGACAAAGATAATCCTTTAGTTATCACTAGATCTTACCCTATCTGAAAGTAAAACCAAAAGAATCCACGAATCAACACTATAACGGTCGATGAAACGAACCTCTGATGTGAATTTAAGATCCTTCTTTATCATAGTGATAGGACATACCGCTTTTAAAGGTTTAGTCTACAGGAGAAGTGTGATCGATCGAAACAATAACTCGAGACGAACTTGAAAGTAGAGGTTTTGTGCATAAGCTGGAGTGGGAGTAGAGGAAAAGTCCACAAATCCAGCAAGTTCTTCAACCGCCTGTTGGGGGAGATATATCAGCAAAATTTATTTGTGACACCGAGAAAGTTAAAGTGATATACATAACTTCTCAATAATAATGTGTCTTTTTTAATGAACAAAGTCGTGACAATTCTCACACCTAAAACAAACAATACCTCGTAATCGCATTGGTGAGGACTTGGGATCAATCAGTACAAAAATCTATAGGAGTCGAGCCCCACGACTCATTGTAGAAATAATAAGAAGACAAGGAAATAAAGTCCATTAACTCATATCCTATTAATGGTAAAATTGATCACCAGACGATCATACGCAGACCTATTGGTGTTGATTGTATAAAGGACACACGCAAATTCCATTCGCACGCAAGATAACATTCATAAAAAAAAAATGTTGCACAAAATAATATAATAGTTCTCTGCAATATGGTATACGTTCAGGTCCGGGTCGGCCAAAGGCCTAAATAGTTAAGGTCCAATTCATCTCAAATTCACTCCACCTGAACCATGGTATAAAAGTCAGGTTATACTGAAAACAATGTACTTTCTCTAATTAACACTTTTGAGTATACTCTTCTTGAATCTTGAATCGACTTGGGTGTTAGAGTGTCAACCATAAAGGTCTGTCTCACGCCTCCGTAATAGAGATCAACATCATCGATTCAAGATATCCAAGTCACTAGTTGCATTTATTTATGGTCCCTGAACGGAACTGTGGCACTGTCTGTGGGAATCGACTTCCCATTCCTATGATTTCCACGATTTTATATCCAATCACCGACCTACTAATTCGTAACCCCCTCATGCCATCGAATTAAGAGCACTCATAATCGAACACGGAGATTCGTCACACTTGTTCCAGTCTTATCGCTTCAGTGGCGATTCATTGGATCTCCTGATCTTTGATTCCCTCGGGAACTCCGCTAAGTAATAGAAGAAAGGATCATAGGTCCAAATCCAGATCTACACTAAAATGACCAGAAAGTGAAAGTCATTTTCTTGGAGATCATGCTTGAAATTCTAGGTACCAAACAGTCGATGTTACAGTGGATGTTATGACATCCACTACTGAGCTGACTACAGAATTTAACCATAAACAGGAATTGAAAGCAGTAAATAACACAGAGATTTGTTGACCTAGTTCAGTGCAAATCACACCTACATCTGGGGGCTACCAAGCCAGGGAGGAAATTCACTCTTAGTAGAATTAATTCAGAGTCAAACAACCAGTTTGCACTCTTCACTTAAGACCTACCCAATGACACTTCAGCCTAACATTATACCTGAGTTACCAATTCACTCCCCCTTAATCACAGCAGTGATATCAACTAATTCAATTACAGATAAAATTGAAGACACACTTCAAACACATTTTGATCTGCTTCGCAGCTTTGATCAATAGACAAGCACTCGTGCTTAAAAGCTTAAAGTGACACACACAGAGTACAGCTCAAAACACACCAGTCCAATGCAATCATCAAAGAGATAATTACTTGGCTCATAAGTAATCCTAAGACACAAACAACCACGTGAAGATCACAGTACACAGACTGAATTCTTCACTTACAAACACTATGTACTCTTTGTCAAAAACTCTGTCGACCTGCCCAGAACTATCTTTAATTAGGATTGCTACTTTGTTGTTTATAAGCAGCAGAAAGATTTTGGGCCCTAGTGCAGAAATTAGGTTTAACCCAGTTAAGACCTCTTTTCATTAAGCTGCGCACTAACAGTTTGGTCCTAGGTTATCCTCAGCCATGCCTGGCATTTCGCCTGAGATAACCAAGCTTCCTAAAATGTTTTCTGAAGTATAGCTTGAGCTTCCTCATGCACTATACCAGAACCTAAAACACACGCCCTAATGTAAGCTGCTTGATGTCATAACATCCAGCATGACATCCAACATACTTTGCTCTTAGCTATCCAAACTTACCATGCAGCACACTTATTATGTATGTCATAACATCAGTCATGATATTCACACATATATCAATGTTTTACCACAAAATGCAGCCAATCAAAAACATCTACAAACTCCCCTTTTAGCAAATTTTTGGCTAAAACACTCTGTCATCATATCAGAGAACAAGCAGCAGAAAAGTTCATAAGCAGAAAAGTTCATAACATGTATCTAATCATGCAGGAAAGCTACTAGCCAATACTACCAATTAACACACACATGTTGTAGTACCATATCAGAGTTATCTACACACACAAACAATATCAGCTTCCAGCCACTCAGGATCAACCTGTTCACACATTATCATCTAGACTGTTTTGGATTATGGATGTCAAGACATCCAGAATGACATCCTGAATCACATATGTTCCACAGCAAAAAAAGTCATCTGATAGTCCAAACTACAGATGTCACACCATCCTGTGTTACTCCCCCTCAACTGATGCACATAACATCAGCCAAGCACAACCTGCACAACCTGCAATCACACACATTCAAGCAGCAAAACACAACCTCATCTAACACCTAAACACACCTCAGCCTGCAGCAACATTATCAGCACACCTGCTGATGCATACACACAACTAACCTGCTGAGGCACAAACAACTAAACATGCTACTACTACTACTTACTACTATTTCTCCCTCTTTTTAGCCACAGATTTATATCATAACTAAACAAATAGTATAGATCAAATACACAGTTGGAAACACAAAGTTAAAGGTTTATTACAACACAAAGCTCATGAAGAGCACAACAAATATCCCATTCTGTTAAGACAGCCACCAAAAGCAAAAAATCGAACTCCTCAGAAGAAACAAAAAGAAACAAACTAGCCACACCAACAATA